TTAAATTATGATGGCCTTCCACCTTGGTGCATTTGTCATTTCTAGATTTTGTCATTAACAAGGGAGAAGCAGACACAATTTTTTTTAAAAAATGAAATCATAATGAAGGAGAGAAACTTTAGTTAATTGATCATGTCCTTTTTTTTTTTTTTAGTGGAAAATTTGATCATGTCTTTAATTGGATAATTAAGGAGAAGAAAAATCTTTAAAAAATAAAAATACACCAGGGAGCATTCAAAATAATGCATACCTTTTCCTTAAACACCTGTTGTATGGTGGAGTTAAGGTTTCCCTCCCAGCATCCTTCATCCTCATGATATTCTTTCAATTTGGCCAGTTTTGGAGTGCTTAGTTCTCCATTGGAGAAAATTTGCATATTTGGACACTCTCTAACAATGACAATTTCCAAATCTGGGAATTCAAAGTTGCAAACCCCTGAACAGAAGCTTGCTAGTCTTGGTAGACCTTCAAGTTGCAAATACTTCAGCTTGCTGAGAATAATGCCATCCTTTACATCATCACCCAAGCATACCACAATTTCTTCTATCATTTCACATTCTGTTACTTGCATTGTTTTGAGTTGCACCAAGCTTTTTGCAGTTGAGTATCTCACTAAATTGACAAGTCCATGACACTTGGATACTTCCAAAGTCTGCAAATTGTTGAAATGTACATTGGATGGCACTAAATTCTTCAATCTGCTACATTCTTGGACTTTTAGAGTTTTTAGGTTACTAAAAATTGATTCAATTTGGGATTCTTCCTTCCAAAGATGTGTTAGCTCATGGAGTTTGGACAGCCTTAGTTCGCATAATGGTGTGCGTCCACATATAGAAGGTTTTTCCTCAACACCAACTTCTTCACATTGGAATACTTCATTGAAGCAAGTATCCCTCATAACAAGCTTTTCAAGACTGGGCAAAGACTGGAAGAAAAAGGGTGGAAGAAAATTTGATATCTTAGGAAAATCGGAGAGTTCCACCACCTTTAGTTTGCCGAAGTACTCTTCTGGATGCTGTCCATACCATATCTCCTTTATATTGTCATTCCATTCCAATTTCAATTCTTCTAGACTCGGAAATGTATCCTACAAAATTTAGATGAGTAAAAAACATGAAAATAAGGATACTCTAAATTTTCAACAAATCTGTAAATCTTTGACAAATTTGCCCTT